ATAAGATCTGTTTGCCTTTTAATTCAGTTTCTTTGAATGAAGACACTTCATCCAATTTTTGTTGTTTGTTTAAGTGTAACAAATGCTTCATATCAAATATTACAAGTAATGGTTAATGTGTCATCTGAAATGGCTGTTTCTGATAATGCCACTACCACCTCCTCTAGGTTGTTCACCGGAATGAAGTTTCTGCAATCTAATCTGTTCTCCGAACTTGGCTATGAAATTTATATATGTTTAAGCATTTTCAATGTATATTAGTGTATTGAATAAAATTTTTTTATAAAATTTATATATGTTTAAGCATTCTCAATGTGTTGAATAATTTTTTTTTTAAAAAAAATTAAAAATTTATGAATTCTCAATGTTTTGAATAAAAACGCTTAAAAACTATATATGTTTAAGAATTCTCAATGTAATGAATAATTTTTTTCTTTATAAAAACTATATATGTTTAAGAATTCTCAATGTATTGAATAAATTTTTTTTTAATTTTTTTTTATTTTTATTCATAAGAACCCGATCTTCGGGTTCACTAATGGAATAGCAAATAATATACGAGTTCAACACTATTCATGGTCCCACTAGAAATATAATAAAAAATTCTAGTGAACCCCAAGTGGAGGTTCACCAATGGGCATGCTCTAACGTCTTCATACCACAACAAGAACCAAAAAGAACTATATAACTGTCACACTATATGTTCGTTTAGACTTCGTACACATACAAACTGCTTAGTTTTTATGATAATTCACATATTTATCAAAAAAAAAAAAAAAATACACAACAAAAAAAGTGATGAAACAATTGGGCATGATAGTTGATACTGATAAGTTTAATCTGTCAAAGCATCTTTCGTCAGAATGTCTCTCAGCTTCTCTCTCTTTCTTTCTCTATCTTTCCTCGAGTTATTGGTGACCACATCTAAAGCTCACGTAAAATGACATCGTTATTTTTCCCACCTTCACTGAAAAGAGAGTTACTTACTTGAAGGATAAATATTATACTTTATGGGAAAAAGACTATTATATCTATTTTATTGATTGCTTAAAATACCCCCCTCCCCCCACCCATCTCTCTCTCTCTCGTTCAACGTGCTCAATTTTCTTTTACTGTGCTCAATTTTTTTACTGCACCTGCTCAATTTGTTGCATAAACGTTAGATCAGTTGGTGTCAACAGGAAGTTTAGTTACTTAATTGGAAAAATTATCATTTAAATCCTGAACTTTCAAATTTGGTTGAAAAAAAACATGAATTTTCCTTTGGACCATTTAAAACACCATCTTATCTTGACTAACCATTAAAAACCTCAAATTAATTTGACTAAACAATATCTAAGATGTCGTTAAATCGGTTAACTCACTAACTAAACGGGGTTAAGTTCCGTTTACTGTTTCCATTAAACCTAAACTCTGTCCTTTTGGAAATAAAAAAACCCCCAAAATCCTCTCTTCTCCAAAATCAAATTCCTAATTTCTCAAATCGAAAAACACAAACATTTAATTCAGCATAAGATTTAATCCCACATCGTGAGTGTCTTTCTTCCAGTTTTCGATGATATGTTTATCACATTGGCGATGCTCAGCTGATGGTAACACGTTGTGGATAGCCTTCACTAAACTTTGGAAAACAAATTGAGTTAATAAAGACTCAAAAAGAGTCAAAAGATTCAAAAAGTTTGAAATCTTCTGTAAAATTTTAAAAAAATTCCAAAGCAAATAGTTTGACCGGATCTTGATGGTCTCTACGAATTAAATGTTTGTGTTTTTCGATTTGAGAAATTAGGAATTTGGTTTTGGAGAAGAGAGGATTTTGGGGTTTTTTTTAATTTTCAGAACGATAGTGTTTAGGTTTAACGGAAACAGTAAACGAAACTTAATCCCGTTTAATTAATCAGTTAACCGATTTAATGACATCTTAAATATGGTTTAGTCAAATTAATTTGAGGTTTAAAATGGCTAGTCAAGATAAGTTGGTGCTTTAAATGGTCAAAAGGAAAGTTCATATTTTTTTTCAACCAAATTTAAAATTTCGGGATTTAAATGACAATTTTCTTGTTACTTAATTAGTTAAATCCAATGATATTCATATGCACGTACATGTAATTGTGTAAAATAGATTTTGGCAGAAAAACATATATATATATATATATATACTAGGTGTTTTGCCCGCACTTGCGGGCATAATTCTCGTATGAATATTTATTAATATAAATCAGTTTTAATTATATAATCAATAATAAACAAAATTATAGAAATTCTGATAAATGATTAAAATTACCTAGGATCATGGACTCAAATCAATAAATTCACTTTTCAAATAATTATTTTAATGATTTATATTTAATTATGATTTATATTTGATTATTAATAATATAATTTTTATATCTTAATTTTAAATTTTATAATAGAAAAATATATTTTCAACATAACAACATAATCCATAATGGTTATCTTATATTAAAAATATATTAAATAATTAATATAAATTCGTTTTAGTTATATTTAAATATTAAATTATTAATATAAATTTGTTTTAGATAAATATATTAGTGTTTATATCTTAATTAAAAATTTCAGTTTTATATATAAAAATTAAATATATCTTAATTAAATATAAATCATAACTAAATATATCTTAATTTTAAGTTTTATAATTGGAAAATATATTTTCACATAACAACATAATCCATAATGATTATCTTATTTTAGAAAAATATTAAATTATTAATATAAATTCGTTTTCGTTATATTTATACATTAAATTATTAATATAAATTCGTTTAGATAAATATAATAGTGTTTATATCTTAATTTAAAATTTAAGTTTTATATATAAAAATTAAATATATCTTAATTAAATAACTAATTTAAGTTTTAGATATAAAAATTAAATATATTTTAAATAAATCATAACTAAATATATCTTAATTTTAAGTTTTAGAATAGGAAAATATATTTTCAACATAACAACATAATCCATAATGATTCTCTTATTTTAGAAAATATTAAATTGTTAATATAATTTCGTTTTAGATAAATATAATAGTGTTTATATCTTAATTTAAAATTTAAGTTTTATATATAAAAATTAAATATATCTTAATTAAATAACTAATTTAAGTTTTAGATATAAAAATTAAATATACCTTAATTAAATCATAACTAAATATATCTTAATTTTAAGTTTTAGAATAGGAAAATATATTTTCAACATAACAACATAATCCATAATGATTCTCTTATTTTAGAAAATATTAAATTATTAATATAAATTTGTTTTAGTTATATTTAAATATTAAATTATTAATATAAATTCTTTTAGATAAATATAATAGTGTTTATATCTTAATTTAAAATTTAAGTTTTATATATAAAATTATATTTCAAGATAACAACATAATTCACAAGAATTATCTTATTTACTAAAAATATGATATATTCATATAAATTCGTTTTATTTATAAATAAAGTATATATAAATATTAAAAATATCATAAATAAACAAAATCACCTAAACTTATGGAGAACATGACAACTAAGCAAATTTACTTCTTAAATAATAGTATAGATATATATATATATATATATATATATATATGTAGATAATAATAAATATAAACGTATGTGATATGCATATACGAGTTATCTCCTTGCATGTGAATATGCCAATTTTTAATTTTCTTTTGGATCGAGGCAGATGGTCGAGGCAAAAGATATTTGACCGTGAGTTAGTAAAATTGAAGTGGGGGAGAGAGAGAGATGAGTCAAAGATGGTGTGGGAGTAATGATGTAAAAGAGGCAAACAACGTCTTTAATCCATATGCTAAAGAAGCCTCGCATCTCTAAAGCCAAAGGCGATTTGGATGCCTGCGCTTTTGTTTTACAATTTTGTTATAATTTCAATTTCTAAAGACCATAACAAGCATAGTTAACTGTCAAAACGAAAAAGAAAAAGAAGAGTGTTTAGGTGTCGCCAGGTAGATCTTGGTTTGAGAAGAGAGGGGTCCCTTGTAAGTTTCTTACATCATTAAAAGCCTTCTCTTTTGGGGTTAAAGCAATCATTTAAAAATCCAATAGAGCTTGAGTGGGAGCCACATTGACCCACTAGGAACCGGGACTACTACAGTAGATAGATATAATAGATTCCGAATGGTAACATGCGGGACAACTGCGGTTCAAATAGTAACAAAAACATATAGATATATAGGTATATGTATAGATTTTTGTTACTATTCACAGTGGTGCGGGACATGGCGGTTGTTTACCATTCGAAACCATAAATGATGGTGCAGTAATGTGATGAATTGAGATCAATGCAATAAGAAAAGATGGAGATTATAGCTACGATATGGGGCTCCCTGAATGGTTTGCCACTAGACCGTTAGCTAAACCAAGAAGAAGTTCAATCACTGTTTTAAACATGTTTGATTCAGATTATTAGCTACTCGTTGTACAGAAAACGGTTTTTTGGGTTTGAATTAATTTTACATTCTATTCAAAAAAAAAAGAAATGATGGTGCAGTAAGCGCGAAACTTCTATGTAGCGTATACAACTAAACTATACATGAAAATATTTAGTAATGTGATGAGTTGAGATCAGATATGTGACAACTAAACTTCTATGGTACAGATATGTGATGAGTTGAGATCAGATGGGCCCTTCGTCCTAACCTTTGCCGTCTTTTTCATGGATTTTCACACTTACAGAATCTTTTAATGTTTGCTTTTCAGATTATTAAACTGTAAATGAAAGTTTTTTAAAAAAAAAATGTGATGAGTATAGCAAACACTGACTAAAAATAATCCAAAGTAAGACAAAATATTTGATCTCACAGATGCCAATCCCATGGCATACTTTAAAAACATTCTCATATCATATATCCTACAAAATCTCTTAATTTTTTTAGTTATATATAGTATCCTTCGTATCTTCTACGTAAACCTTCAGCAGCTACAGTTTCCTATCTCTCTCTCTCTCTCTCTCACATCTACTTTGAATGGCGCCGATGAGTTTGCCTCCAGGTTTCAGGTTTCATCCAACAGACGAAGAGCTAGTGGCATACTATCTGGACAGGAAGGTCAACGGCCGAACCATAGAGCTTGAGATTATCCCCGAAGTTGATCTCTATAAATGCGAGCCATGGGATTTGCCTGGTACTTTCATACTCTCTCTCTCTAAATATATATTAGACATCCATTTATTTTTCACTTACTTACATATAAGATGGAGGTTTTCCTTAATTAAAGTAATCATATAATTGAATAACGAGGAACAGAGAAGTCATTTTTGCCGGGAAACGATATGGAATGGTACTTCTACAGCAGGAGGGATAAGAAGTACCCAAATGGGTCTAGGACAAACCGTGCGACCCGAGCCGGCTACTGGAAAGCCACAGGGAAAGACCGTGCAGTAGAATCAAAGAAGGTGAAGATGGGGATGAAGAAGACCCTTGTTTATTATAGAGGAAGGGCTCCCCATGGCCTTCGTACTAACTGGGTGATGCATGAATATCGCCTCACTCACCTTCCTTCTCCATCCCCCTCCTCTTCTATCAAGGTAACACTTGCTTATTTTATCCCATACGAACACATGAAGAACCATCCATGTATATTACTATTCTTTATAATATATATACAGTTTTGAGGAACACTAAACCCTATACTCATTCAGTTTTGAGTATTAATTTTATTTATTCAATCAAAGTCAATTATTCAGTATTGTATTATATTATTTTATAGAGATTTTTAGTGTATATTAATTTATAGAATATTAATTTTAAGAGGTTATACTGTATACTAGTTTGATAATCGTATTCTGTAAAACAGGAGTCGTATGCATTGTGCCGTGTGTTTAAGAAGCATATACAAATTCCAAAGAGAAAAGACGAAGAGATGATGATGGGTACTAGCGTTGGAAAAGAGAAAGAAGAAGAAGAAGAAGAAGAAGAGAAAATGTGGAGAAAATGTGATGGGAATGTGGAGGTAAGGATGGAAAGAGAAAGCGAAGAAGACGAGAGCTTAAAAATGGCATCTGCGGAGACGTCCTCATCAGAGCTCACACAAGGGATCCTTTTAGACGAAGCAAACAACTCATCCAATTTCGCCCTTCATTTCTCAGCTTCTCTTCTCGAAGATCATGGTGATCTTTTTGCAAACTACTCTCACTTTCCTTACTATCCTCCTCTCCAACTCCAAGATTTTCCTCAGCTCTCTATGAACGAAGCACAGATTATGTCAACCGATAACTCAAAGCAACAAGACTTTCAGTGCAGAGACTCAATGAATGGGACACTTGACGAGATCTTCTCTTCTTCGGGGACCTTACCCCTATGACACTAATATACATAATCCTTATTTGATATTCAGACTTATTTTTTTGCAACTTACCCAAATATATGATATTATATATATCTATATATAATTTTCTTTCTTTTTGGCTTCTCAGTTGGTTTACCTGTTGAGTTTTTTCTACCACACAGGAAAGAAATTGAAAAATTGGATTATTCTGTTTTTAACCTAAGAGTGTGGATATCTACTTAATTAGTAGATGCTACTTAGACCGTTGATTGGTTTTGTCGAGTGGAAAGAAACGGAAGCACACATTTTGTAATCGATGTCACTGTTTTGTCCGTAATCTATATATTCGGAAAAGGATTCTGACAAGCCAAGAAATAGGAGAGAAAAGAGACCTAAGTTGCAACTGATACCAATATACATATCCACTCAAATAGAATCGGCCCATTGTCACAATAAACTTACAAATGTGTATATTATATATATGACACAATTCATAATTGATACGATATAGTATATCCACCATGATTGAATATAAGATTGATATCCAACGAGCGAAGGAAAATATAAGATTGATAAGTTAAGAGTTTTATAAAATGAAAGCATTTTTAAAAATTGAAAAATAATTTTTAAAAATTGTAAAAAATATAAAAATGTTTTATAAATTACAACAAACCTAGAATGTTTTTTTTATAAAAATTTTAAAACTTTTTCTAAAAGCTTTAAGCATTTTATAAAAACATAAAATCGTTTTAAAACAACAGAAAAGTTATAAGCCATCAAAAAATAAAAAAAAATTTAAAATCTCAAATCTAACATGTAAAATCCTAAGACTAACAATTCTAACACTTAATAATGTGGTTGACAAAAAAAATACAATTCTACTACACATCTAACATAGTTAATCCTAAATTAACCAACTTAACTAATTTCTAACATTCCAATCCCAAATACATTAATTCTAACCTAACACATATACAAACTAACATATATGATTATGGAGAGGATAATAAATGAGCAACATGATATAAAGGGAACTTAAAGAAGGATTTAGAGCTTAAAGAAATTTGCTGAAAATTTTTGACTAGTTTCCTTCAAATTATGTATTAGAATTTCTAAACATAAAAAATATCTCGATAAAAGTTTGATGATGAACTGATGATTTTTCGGGGATTGTAATCTTCAAATGTTTGAAAGCACACAAATTTAAGATTGTAAGATGGATCACCATAAAGTATTTGCTTAAGTATATAAGTGATAATGAGAAAGGTTATGTATCTGCCGATGCATAATGTATAGTTTTAATAATTGAAGTTTTATTAAGCATATTTATCTCTCAGTATATGTTATGGTGATCTTGTTTGTATTCGGTTTAAAGTTAATTTGAATAATTCATATCTAAAACTAAAGTTTATCGAAAAATTTCACGAATTTCTTACGAAAATTTAAGATTTGTCAGAAATTTCTGACAAAAACATAAACCCAAAACTATATTATGAGTCATTTAATTTTCCTCAGAAATCGTCAGTATTTCTTCAATTAATTAATATTTTGTCAGAAATTCCTAAAATATTTCTGACGAAATACTGATAAAGAGTAAAATTTTATATTCATCAAAAATTCGTCAGAAATTTCCGACAATTTTTTTCGTTAGAAATTACTATGTTTTCTTGTAGTGAATTGATGGTGGGTGAAGACATAAGTGGTTATAATTGTGCTGCTTTGGATAATGTGATGAGAGGATCATAGTAGAAAAGAACTGTATTCACTCTCATAATCATTTTACGTACAACTAATACATAAATATACTAAATAAACGTTAAACCTAATTTTTATTTGATATTTACATGTTCCAACAACATTATTCAAAATTAGGTTTGATATCTTTATAATATATTTTTCAAACAATTTGCATAATAAACTAGATATTGTTTTTTTTTATCAACAGAGATTTATTAAAGCTCAAATGCTAACATGCTTATAGAATGCTAGATATTGTATAGTAGAACATCTATAAATTAATAAATTTAAGATTTTAAATTTTATTAATTAATAAAAATATTAATTTAAAAAAGGTTTTTTGTTTAGAATTTTTATCTTAAGATACATTTATTTTAAGATAAGAAAAATATTTGGTTTTAATGTATAGACAGTAATTATTATTTTAAAAATTTATGACAGTTATATTAATTTATTATATTATTTGATGTATATAATATATATTACATAATTAAAATTTGGTTTTAAATATAATATTGCTAAATCTCATAAAAATATATCAATTGTTAAGAAAATATAAAGATAATTCATTGTGAATATAAAACAAATAATATAACGATAGGTTATTACTTATATAAAATATGTATACATATAAATTATTTATATTTCAAATGGGACCATATACATTTACGTAGAAATTTCAAAAAATATTATCTTCTTATTAATTTGTGTCAAATTTTAAACTCGCCTAAATTGGAGCCAACAAAATTTATTAATTTATAAAAATTATTAATTTATCGAATATTAATTAACTGTTGTTATAATGTATGTCAAAAGCCTAATATAACAACATTTAAAGCCCAGTTGAAGTCAAAACTAAAGAGACAAAACTTCCTAATTGGTAAACATGTGTCCTTCAACGTGTCTTCGCTTGAGGTCTTCGCTTGAGCTTAGAAAGGGACACGTAAATTTTTTTTTAAAGAAAAGGGTTAGATCTTATTCTATTAAAGACACATATCTACTTTCTGGTTGGAAATACAGTCCACAAATAAATTTTCTTCAGAACATTTAACGGGGTCGAAAGCACTAGTTCATATCTGTGTGGGTAGTGAAGTTCGAACCACGCATCTTCTCTTCACCAACCAAAATCCCCGAGAACACCACATGTCAAAATTAAGAAATTAACCCATTCATCCAATACCCACTTGTATGCTCCTACTTCCATGTCACCGCTGAGGAGGTTAAAGAAAGTTTCGCTAATCCGCCGGAAGTAAATCACCAATAGAGCCTTGAAAGATTGGTAAAAAACATTTTTATCGGAACGGTTTCACAGAGAAAACTCTGATTTTACTGAGACTGCACTTAAATCAATAAAGCTAAACCCAATATATAAGTTGAATTAACTAGATTAGGAGGCTTAACAAAGATTAGAGACATAAAACTTTATTTCCTTCAACTGAATAACTAAGCATGACCAGCAGGATACGAAAACATCCTCAAAACTCGGCGGAATGATAAAGAAATGAAGGAAAGGAGGAGATGGACCAAACACAAACACAAAAAGTAGCAATGCAAAGCTAAGATCCAATAAATGGAAGATTAGATCGATCTATGGATCGAAATATGATACTAGATTTTGATCCGCGCAAGCGTAACCGCGCGGATGTTAAGTTTTATTTATATATAGTTATTGGGTTTACATCATTACTGGTATATTTTTTAACATTAATCATATATTTTAGTGTTTATATAATTATTTCAACTACAATAATTTTATAGCTTAAATTTCTTAATTAATTAATTGTTTTAAACCGTCAAATATATTTGTCATTTTTATTATATATTTATCTCTGTAGATTTTTATTTAATTATTAAAAATCAATATAGGCATGAACCAATATATTTTAAAATTAATGTGTATTTAATTTATACTAATTTTTACTCACACTCCAAAGCTTTGAATTACCTTTTAGCTATTTTCTGTTTATTTATTTTTGATAATATATTTATTGTATATATAAAATTTTAAAATATGTTAATTTGTATGAATGTATTCTATTAATTTAACATAAATATATGTATTGATGAAAATAAAATATATATTAATATATCAATTTAATATAATTTTATCCTAGTTCAGTATACTAATTATTTTAATATTATATATTATGATTATAAATAAGGAATATGATAGAAATTTTATTTTTCATTCTATAAATGATAACTGCATACATATTATTGTATGAAAATAGTTTGTTATTAATTAAGAAATTGGTGACAACATTTCCTTAAAATTTTTAAAAGTGAGATCCTATGAATAAAATAGACTTAAATGTTTTATCAAAATAAGTAAATATACATTTATAACATCTGGGTAAACTTAGAGTTGAAGAGTGGAGTTTTGTGGGTAGGATTTCAAATTTTTAAAAATAAATTTTTTTTTTGGTATCTATTTTAATATTTTTATAATAAAAACTTAAAAAAATTTATTTGAGAGACTTGCTCATTAATTATAGGGTATAGAAAAAGATAAAAAGCCCATCTCAAGCCCAAAATTGCAAACAGTACGGATCCGATCCAATATTGTAGAGTGATTAATTAAAAAAATACGATTTACAAAAAAAGGCTTGACGAACTTGATCCCCATCTATCCCTCGGGTTCCCCCAGATTTCGGAATATCCCGGCGATGAGTACCAATACGGCGTCGTCCAGTGCCGGATCGGGAGATCCTTCCACCGCCAGGAAGAATTCGAAGCGGCCAAAGTGTATTATTATCCCCCTCTGCCTTATCGTTTGATCGATTTGGATTTTGTTTTTTGATCGTATCAAATGTATTTTTGGATCGAAATATCATTTTCTTTTGTGAAAATGAAAATGAAAATGATCCTTCTTGGATTGACTCAAATCCTCTTTATACATGTAGCAAAGAGTTTTTTGAATTCCCTTTCACATAAAAACTTGGTTGTTTTCTTCATCAACTGCCTAAAATGTGAGAATTTTTGTTGGTTACAGATTCCAAGTTCACACAACAGGAGCTTCCAGCTTGCAAGCCCATTCTTACACCTGGCTGGGTAAACTTTCCCTCCTTCCTTTTTTACCCTTCTCTAATTCATCTTTCAGAACACAATCTTTTTGTTGTTGTGTGTGTAGGTGATTTCGACATTTTTGATAGTGAGTGTGGTCTTTATCCCCCTTGGAGTTATCTCTCTTTTCGCTTCTCAGGATGTAAGTGTCAGCGACCCTTTTTCCTACTCATCAAAAATTGTCATATCCCTTGTCTCACGTGTCTTCTCCTGGTGTAGGTTGTGGAGATCGTTGATCGCTATGATAATGATTGCATTCCTGCACCTGCTAGGACTAACAA